TATTAATTATCATCACCACACTGTGTAATAGATTACTAAAACTTATATCTCTTATCAAACTGAAAGTTTGTACTCTTTGAAAAATGTCTCCTCTTTTCTTACTCCAGCTCCTAGGCCTCTTATAAATACCACTTTACTTTATACGTCAATGAGCTCACCTTTTTTTTTTAATTTCTCATGTAAGTGAGAGCATGTAATATTTGTCTTTCTGTGCTTGACTTCACTTAGCAGTATTCCAGTTTCATCTGTGCAGTTTCAAATGACAGGAATTTATTCTATTTGCTTTTTTGTTTTGTTTGGTTTGGTTTCCGTTAGTTTTGTTTTCAAACAGAGTCTTGTTATGTAGTCAAGGCTGGCTAAAGCAATTGATCTTTATGTCTCAGTCCCCCAAGTACTGTGATTATAGTTCTGTGCCATTACACCTGCCTCTATTTCATTCTTCTTTAAAAAACATTTTTATTACCATATATTAGTTGTACAGGGGGACTTCATTGTGACATCTCCTTATGTGCTTACAATGTACCTTGATTAGATTCACCCTCTTCATCATAGTCCCTCATCCTCCTCCCCCTCCTCTTAAAACAACTTCAACATACTTCATTGTTCTATTTTCATACAAGTATATAAAGTATACTTGATCTCATTTGCCAAAATGAAATAGGGAGCAGGAAGGGGTACAAGGGAAGAATTTAAAGAAAAATAAGATCAAATGCAAGAAAGTAGTAACTTAAAGTCTATAAACCATAGAACATCTAGATATGGGATCAACCACTATCAAATTGGGCTCTGTTAAAAGAAAAATAGTTTCAAATGTGGACAACATGACTGACCTTCTAAGCTGAACCTGGATATAACACAGAAATGACATATTACTTACCAAGTCACTCTAGTCAAAAAATGTCCTAGGTAACTCATCCCTTAAAATTAGTATAAATTCCACGAAGAATCTGCAAAGCATGAATCTTTCTTGAAAAAAACAGCACTCTTCCCTCACGTTTATTTTCACTCTATTATTGCAACTTTCTTTGAAATTCCTTACTTTGTCTTCTGGCTGAATTCTGACAGTGACAAGAACCTGAAAACACTGGGTAAATAAGAAACTGGATTAACTATTAACTATTCCCTTTTTAAAATGAATAAAATAAGATTATTAGTTGAGATTAATAGTAAAAATAGTTATGAAATAACATTTACGATTATATAAATATAAGATTTCAGCCAAATCCAAATAAGAATAAAGCAATATGTAGAAATACCTTCTCTGAGTAACCAATATTACTAATCAACAGAGCACAGCAACACAAGTCTTCCCTATGGCACAAAGAACTCAGCTTTCTTTACCAGGCTGAGTCAGTTACCATTCATCTAGCTACATTCCATCTACCAAAAGTTGTCAACATGTGTACAGTATTATTGCTTGCTGTTTTCTTTCCTATTTTCTTTGTTCATGTAACAGAAAACATTTTTATTCTTTTATTGTAATGTTTAGAAGGGTTTGTTTGATTTGTCATATTAACTAGAAATTGGCATACCTTTCAAGACTTAAGCAAATGCATTGAAATACAAATGTTGTTTAACAAAATAATATTTTGAACAATCTCATCAATAGTCTGATTTCAAAAGACTACAATTTTATAATTTTTGTCAACAATTTGTGTACACATGGGTTAAATATAATGGAACTCATGAATGGTATTCTTTAAAAAACTCATGTTACCTAGTAATTGACTTTTATAATATTTGGATGTATAATTAGTCTGGATAGACTAGCAACTCCTTATAAACAAAGAAACATAGCTCCACTTAAAATTAATATCATTATTACTATTTTTTAATGTTTGAGTCATATGATCTATATTTAACAGACTTAGAAAGGAAACAAAATGGCAACATAAAATGAAAAAAGTCTATAAAATATACCTCATAAATTTGCCAGGTATTTGAATTTCATTTGCATATTACAATTTGAAAGATGTTAATATGTTACAGATGAAAGTCAATTTCATATGACAATAAAACTACTAAAAGATCTGTTAATGCATTTCAAAGAATTGTATATTTGAAACATGTACTTTTGCAATGTCATGCCAGTTAATGAGAAACCATAGTTCATAGGGGCTTACTCCCATATAAATTTCTATGATAGGATTAAATAGACATTTTTATGAAGTCAGATTTTCATGGTTTAATTTAGAGTTAAGGACAGAGTAGATAATACAGAAAAGTACTGTAAAATGTACATAAATGAATACAGGGGAAATAATTTTATCTTCTATATGTAAAATATATATTAATATATATTTTTATATATAAATATATTGTATTTCAAGGAGAAATTAAAAATAAATTCATGCAGATCATCCCTTTAGGATAACTAACACTCTTAATTGAAACATTTAGTTATATTGATTTGGCCTTAACTTACACTTTTTAAAAAATATAAAAACAGTATTTATCTGCAATTTTGTATAATCACTCAGAACAAAGACAACAGTACTGTCTTCTGATTTCTTTTTTATTTAACCACAGGATTGCAAATATGCTTCACAGACTTTCATGAGCAATCAGATCAATATTATATGTGAGCTCTCCTTAATCTTAGCAAATAGGAGTTGATCATCAGAGATGTAGCTTAGAGCCTAAGGCTTAAAAAACAAAAGAGGAGAGAAAAAATACCTCAGTGCATCCACCAATATTCGACCAATACTCCTAGCAACACTTACATTCCAAGACAGGGAGTGATCCTCAAACAGGTATTCAATGTCAATGTGAGTAGGATGGCTAAAAACAAGGTCAAAAGAAATGCTGGAAAACATAGGGCAAGCACATCCTTTCTGTGACCAATTAGGTTACTTACACCAGCTGGCTGTGCTGAACAAACTCAGTACTCAACACTCAAGACTGTTTTGATCATCCTGGATAATGATTTAAAACAAATTTAGAGTCTGAGAGATTGGAAAGTCTATCTACTGACAACTGTTTTCTGATTTGTACTGCTAATTTAACTGGGTTTCTAAGCATGATCTGCTCCTAAATTCCTTGTGACTATGTTCTGTCCATCTGTCAGGATAACCCGGTATCCATTTGCATTGTCCTAATTAGTTGCCACAGTAAGAAAAAAAACAAAAAAATCAAGACCTAGCACAAAGCTCAGAACCACTTTTTAGCTTGTGAAGATTTATTTATGCATTTTCTGGATCTCATAATAATCCATATATTTAAAACATTAATGTAAATACTGAGTATGAGCTATGTAAAAGTGATAGTAGGCCAAAGAAGGAACACATAACTTACACAAGGTAAATTTGATCAGTGCAGACATATGTTATAACAGTCATGGGCTTCATTATGCCAGTTTGTTTGACACTGGATCAAATATATGATGGTTTTCCCATAAAGTTATGATTGTATATGTATATGCATACATATGTAATCTCCATATATGTAGCTATGCACATGTATACATATATATGTGTATCATATATACATAGGTATATAACTAAGGCTTCATTCCAGTGCCTGGCTGGACTCATAGGGGAAACATGCTTCCTACATACCAGACTTGAAGCACATTGCATTCCTTTTGAGAGAGTTTTAGTCAAGGTTTCAGTCAAGTCATAGGCCAGCCATCTTCATGTACATATCTGAATTCCTATCCACTTGGATAGGATCAAAGGTATATGTGATCAAAGGTATTCTTATCTGGGGGGCAGGCTGGAGCACTTTGCAAGCATCTCTGATAATATCACCTCTGTTTTGAGTGATCTATAAAACAATTGGAGTATTTTATTCAGTGCTTCTTGGCAATGAGACAATGGAATTCCCCTTACCTATACTTCATGTCTTCTAACTAATGATCATCCTCTGTGATTCCTTGGGGGAAAATTGAGCATGTTATGGTTTCGATATGAAGTTTCCCCAAAAAAGTATGAGTTAAAGGCTTGGTCACCAGCTGGTAGAGCTACTTTGAGAAGTTCTAGAGACTTTAGGAGATGGGGCCTGATGGGAGAAGTATGTCACTAGGGGCATGTCTTCATGGGTTGATTTTACCCCAGGCATTCTCTCTCTCTCTCTCCCTCTCTCCCTCTCTCCCTCTCTCCCTCTCTCCCTCTCTCCCAACCATCTGTCATGAGGTCAGTTGCCTCTGCCACATGCTTCCACTGCCATAATGCTTTGCCTCAGCACAGGCCAAGAATAAATCTTTTCTCCTTTAGCTGTTCAGGTATTTTGTTCATAGCCATACAAAAGCAACTAATAGAGAAAATTGGTACCAGAATGAAGACATTGCTATGATTAAACCTGACCATGTGATTCTTAAGCCTTTAGAATTGGTTTATAAGAAGAATTTAGAAGAGTTTGGACAATCAGCCTACAAAACCCTAAGATTCTATCAGCAGAGCTTAATGCATAATTCTGGTGGAAGCTCAGAAGATCAGAGCATCAACAGGAATGTAAATAGTAAAAACTATGCTCACGGGGTTACAGATGGGAATGAGGACTCTATTGGGAATTAAAGTAGAGGTCATTGATGTTACATGTTGGCAAAGAATTTGCCTACATTTTGTCTGTGTCTGAGACTAAGTAAATGTGAATTTAAAAGTAATATAATAATTTGGTGGAGGAAATATCAAGACAATATAGCATTTGGGCCATGGCATGGATATTGTCCTCTGTTTTAGCCAGGTTTACAGTGGAAATCAAGAGCAAAAAAGCACAGCAGAAAGATTTGAAAAACATGAAATTTAGCCTTAAATATGAACACTTTTAAAGTTACAGAAAATGAAGGTGTGGTTGTTAAAGAGATCAGCACTATTTGAAAGGAATAAATTACTTTGCATTAGGACAAAAGAAATGATGCGGTGTGTGTGTCCCTGTGTGCGTGTGTCATTTTAAGGTGGCTCGGGAGCGGCCCGGAGGAGCCGGCGGCGGCCCGAGGAGCGAGGGACCGAGCCGGGAGTCATGCCGCGCTGAGGGGGGGCCGCACAGCCACTGCCGCCGCCGCCGCCGCCTCCCGGGTGGGCGCCCTTCGCCGTGGACGCCGGCGGCCTAGGACGAGGGTTTCATCACCTTACATGGTTGTGAACCGATGAACCTGTGTCCCCATAAAAAGACGGACAACCCACTGTGTGAACTATAGTTTGTGGACACATTTATATTGGGTTCATAGTGGCTTAATGCACGCAGATTCCTGCGAGTTCCCCTAAGTTCTTAGAGGACTGCTTTGCCTTTTGAATCAGAGAGTTGCAAAGTTCGATAAAGAATGGCCCTTGTGGATAAGCACAAAGTCAAGCGACAGCGATTGGACAGAATTTGTGAAGGTATCCGCCCCCAGATCATGAACGGCCCCCTGCACCTCCGCCCCCTGGTGGCACTGCTGGATGGCAGAGACTGCACCGTGGAGATGCCCATCCTGAAGGACCTGGCTACCGTGGCCTTCTGCGATGCACAGTCCACTCAGGAAATCCACGAGAAGGTGTTAAACGAAGCCGTGGGCGCCATGATGTACCACACCATCACCCTTACCAGGGAAGACATGGAGAAGTTCAAGGCACTGAGAGTGATTGTGCGCATCGGCAGTGGCTACGACAATGTCGACATCAAGGCTGCCGGCGAGCTTGGGATCGCTGTCTGCAACATCCCATCTGCAGCTGTGGAAGGAACGGCTGATTCCACCATCTGCCACACCCTCAATCTGTACTGGCGGAACACATGGCTCTACCAGGCTCTGCGGGAAGGCACACGGGTACAGAGCGTGGAACAGATCAGAGAGGTGGCCTCAGGAGCAGCCCGAATCCGTGGGGAGACACTGGGCCTCATTGGCTTTGGTCGCACGGGGCAGGCTGTTGCTGTTCGAGCCAAGGCCTTTGGATTCAGCGTCATATTTTATGACCCCTACTTGCAAGATGGGATAGAGCGGTCTTTGGGTGTACAGAGGGTCTATACCCTGCAGGACTTGCTTTATCAGAGCGACTGTGTATCCTTGCACTGCAATCTCAATGAACATAACCACCACCTCGACTTTACTATTAAGCAGATGAGGCAAGGGGCATTCCTCGTGAATGCAGCCCGCGGTGGCCTGGTGGATGAGAAAGCCTTAGCCCAGGCCTTCAAAGAGGGCAGGATACGAGGGGCAGCCCTTGACGTGCATAAATCGGAGCCCTTTAGCTTTGCTCAGGGTCCACTGAAAGATGCACCGAATCTCATCTGTACCCCGCACACGTCCTGGTACAGTGAGCAAGCATCCCTAGAGATGAGGGAGGCAGCTGCCACGGAGATCCGCCGAGCAATCACAGGTCGCATCCCAGAAAGCTTAAGAAACTGTGTCAACAAGGAATTCTTTGTCACATCCGCTCCTTGGTCAGTAATAGACCAGCAAGCAATTCATCCGGAGCTCAATGGTGCCACATACAGGTATCCACCAGGCATCGTAGGCGTGGCTCCAGGAGCACTTCCTGCAGCCATGGAAGGTATCATCCCCGGAGGCATCCTGGTAACTCACAACCTCCCTACGGTGGCACACCCTTCCCAAGCTCCCTCTCCCAACCAGCCCACGAAACATGGGGACAATCGAGAGCACCCCAACGAGCAATAGCAGAGAATGCTGAAAGGTAATCATTCAGATAATCTTGGGACCAAGACAAGAGACGTGGAAAATTGGATGAACTAAGAGAAAAGGATTATGAAAGTCTTTTTAACTGATTCTGAACATATGCATCATTGATGTTGCAGTGTTAAAGCTACAAAAGCTAGAAAACTGAAGGTGTCATCTGCTTACAGAAGCGCTGAAAGACTAGGAGTGATTTATTAACGACCAACTTCTGTTATTGTGTATTAAGTTTTTCATCTGTGCATCAAATCACAAAGAATAAATAGAGCTTTTTTCCTTTATCAGTTCCTTGGGCACAGCAGGTCCTGAGCAACTTGCTCTAGAATGTTGCATCAAGAGTTCCAAACACCAAAATAAAGAAATATTGAGAGGAAATCCACATCTTATGACTCTAGTCCCTTTGGTCGATAGGGGCTCGTTACCTCTTTTTGCTAATAGGAAGATTAAATTACTGCGAAATGGGGAGAAAACTGTTTGCCTGTGTTAGACATCTGCACGCGTTCTGAGCAGGCAAGTTGGGTGTAAGTTCCGTAATGCCCTCTGATGATGCAAAAAAAAGAAAGAAAGAAAAAAGTATTAAGTTTCACAAGCTGTTTGTACTCAAATATATTTTCTCAGTTTCAGATCCTCAGCTATTTTATTGAGTGGAAAAGTCTTAAACTGTAAGGGTTCAAGAAAAATAATGTTGCATTTCCTTATGTCTCAGGAAACACTTTTTATGGTAACTTGTCAGATTGTCTATGAACAAACCACTTTTTTAGACATTGATAAATTCTTTTCTTCACGTGATATTTTATACAAGAACACTTCAGATGTGTTATTAGATGCGACTGATTTTAACAAATCCTATTAGATTTGTATCAACTAGTTACATGTTCTACTCATAGTCTTTTGTGAATCATTGCCTTTTTGTTTAAAAAGATGGCCTATTTCGAGCCTTTATATAGGTACATTCCTGTTTTTGTGACAAAAGAAAAACTTTAAACTGTCCCAAACACAAAATAATGGCTATCAGAAATATGTTTTGTTTTAGTGTGAGTTATCGTTACTGTATTTGTTTATTGTAAAGGTGGACATTTAGCGTTCAGTGCAGTTTTCAATAAAAAGTAATTAAAATTTCTTTTAAGTTCTGAAATTCAAGTACATCTCACCATGTAAAAGTTCTCCACTTGAGATGTTTAAAGGCAACTGCGTTGTCACTTAGCCAATTTCCAACTTGTTACTCCAAGCTTCTATCTAGCCAGACTTGAGAATGCTGACAATTACCTCACTGTGACACAGTGTTTAACTGAAAAACCAAGCCCTTACACAAGTCCACCATTCTCAAATTATGGTCTCCTTAAAATGAAATAATTAGAGCAAAATCAATTCCGGAAACAAAGCTGGTCAACTTTTAGAATTGGGGGGGGGTGTGGCGGTAGGGGGATGGGCGATGGCCAATAACCTATTAAAGTAGCTACAAATGAAGTATTGCCCAAAAACAAACAAACAAAATAATTAACAGCCATTTCTATAGATTGAGAACTTTAAGTTCATTTAATGGATCTTCCTTTTAAAATAGCATTAAACCATTCATATTAGTAATAAAGTCCCACCCATCCTTATCCTTCTTATTTAAAAAAAAGTGTCTTATAGCATCAGTCTGCCTGGCCTCACTTATTTTCAGGTTGTGACCCCATGCCAACTGTGCCACGAAAATTACATTAAAAAGAAAGATACCTGGCAGACACAGTTACTGACCTATCATTCCAGGAAACAGAAACATAGTTTAGCATTATCTTCATTAACCATTACCAAACAGACGAAGAAAGATGCACCAAAAACAGGCCCCAACCATCTACACATAGCTGTGTTTTACTTAAGTTCACTGTGTTCCAGACTTGACAAATGCTAAGAGTCAAAAATAGAAAAAGGCAGCAGGTCTGGATCCATGGTACGCCTGGGTTTTGTTTAATTAGATCTTGATTGCTCAAACAGTCCTTTGGAAATGATCATATATATACGTTGACTCCAAAGAAGAACAAGATCAAGACAGAAAACACTATATTGGTTTCACACTAGAAAAATAACCATAAAGTCCACAGTCCACTGAGGACATTCATGTCTATCACTCAGCCACGTATAATCTTTGACAAAGGACGGCATACTCTGCCTTGGGACAGTAATTATGGCTGTTTAATAATTCAAGAGCTTAACATAGCATTGATTTACCAAAATTTTTGGCCTTTTAACAGCCAGCCACTCTTCTGTGAAAACCACTTAATCCCATTACTGTCTTTGGAGCCTAGGAAATGGAACCATCTATAAATTCTTTCCCACAGGGAAGAAAGCTATACCCATCAAACTATGTGGTCAGGATTACCAATCATAAATAAATAAATAAAAAGGGAAGTGGGGGGTGGGAATGACACACTCACCAGACCACAACACACAGAATGAAGCTCAGTACTCAGTCTGACTCTGAACAGCGTTTGAGCACAATGCAGACCAGATGCTTCTCCCTCACTTTCCCTCAACACTTCTCTTTGGCTTCTTCACTTGGGAGGGCAGATTTTTCCTAACAATCTGAACAGAATTTCTGCCCCCCACATATGTGGAGAATACTTAACTACAAATGCTGTTAAGTAGTCAGAATAGTGGTCTTCTAAAAATTTGGCTATTAATTACTGACCAAAATGAAATCAAAGCATATAAAATCAGTTTGTAAGAAAACATAAACCACTTAGAACAGTAATATTTACCATTATAGCAAAATACATTTATATGGAATCATACTGCAAAAAAAAAACTTTCTCCAAAGTATTAGCATGCAGCAAAAATGATCCCTTCATCCTAGGAACACTTTTAGTAAGTGTTCACAGGAAAGAAAGAACTAAAGACATGACAGCTCACAGATATTTTTCTATTTTTAGTGTTTCCAGCATCAGTTGAGGTTGTGCACATTTCAATACCATCTAAACAGAAAATAAGAAGCAAATATTTAAAAGGTTTTCACAGCCTTCTACAAGGGAAGGAAAAATTCTGTGTGTGTGTATATGCTTCTTTGCAAATTCCTTGCCACATCAATAGTCTACAAAGTGCTTATCAGGACACTAAGTCTTGTGTTCCTGAGATAAATAGGTCAGAAATTTTACCCAGTATTGAATGTATACCTGAAGTGGTCAAGTAATACTTTTTATAAAAAGTTTTTCTACCTAACATTATATTTTTAACTTTAAATAAGAATGACTACAACTAACCAACATGCAAAAATCCTCAGACTAGATAGAAATTCATAAAATGCATTGACCACCTTGCTCCATTTTAAAGTTCTTTATTCTGTACTCAACTGGTATTCCAATCTGCCTAAGCAAAGGCATGTCCTTCTAATAGCATTTGCTTAGAGCAGAGGTGACAATAAAACAGGAAGACTCTGGAGGACCTCTGCAAGAAGAGTAGAACATTGATGGAGTCCAGGTGAACAAATTTCATAAATTCCATTCAGTGACAAGTAAGCCTACTCCCTTTCAATCCAGGAAATAACTATACACAAAAGCAACCACTGACCAGAGTCTGAAGTAAAATCCCTATTTTCGGGCACTCTTCCAAACAAATAAATATCTAAATACTGAAAGGGATCAAATCAGAAAACTAAGGCAACAAAAACCAAAACCCTCTCAAAACAAGGAGGCAATATCTGTGTTCAATTAAAAAAAAATTATTAGCTTTTCTTATTTCTTCCTAAAAGATTTGATTTTATTGGGCACAACAGAAACTAATTAATAAAATAAAAACTTGTTTTTTTTTATGTTTTGCTGTGGATAATTTGTACAAAATTTCCAAATCTCTGAGAATTGATGTAAAATGGATCTTTTAAGGTGAAAGTAGAATGCCAGGTCCTAATGAAGGAGTAAGAGTTGTCTGCCATGTGCTTGTTGTAAGTGCCCATGCTGGAAAAAAAATTTCTCAATATGAAGATGCTGGTACAACTTTTCCTATTACACAATTTCTTACACAACCACATGCATTACATGTATAGGCAGATTTACAATTTGAAAGGAAAAAAGATCTGTCAATAAAATTAGTTTTTGTGGGGAAAAAAAAAAGAAATGATGCCTTGAGGAATGGGGGTAGATAGGGATAAAGGATATTGACGGAGGTAGGGAACTCAAGTATGATATACTTGATATATTCTAAGAACTTTTGTAAATGCCAAAATGTACCCTCACCCAGCACAAAAATAAAAAAATTTAAAAATAAAATAATTGGCTGGGCTTCACCATAATTATATAATAAGGTTATAAACAGTTTCTCCTTTGTTCCAAGGTGTATGGGATCCAGTTTGGGAAAACATTACAGTCTATGAGTCTTTGGTGATGGTGTTAGTAGAAAAAGTGTGAATAAAAAAAGAACACACACACACCAAGAATTAATATGATTCTTACTAAAGACTAACCACTGCCCCCTCCCATGTAGAAGTATGATGCAATCAACTTGTCACCAAGTGGCTGATTGGTCTCCTTAAAGTACCAGTTTCAGTCTCTGTAACAGCAAAGACTGTTTATAGAGCAGATATTTAGCAACAGCAGTATGTAATTTAGCATCATTATGAGAAATTCCATACTATTGATTCTACATACAATTGACAATTTTGGTACCATGTGATATGTGTTACATAATGGCCTCTAAAAATGACATATTTTTATCAAATCCCTGGAACCCATGGTTATTACTTTATGTGAAAAACTGGTGTTTGCAGATATAATTAAGTTAAGGAACTTGAGATGAAGGGATCACCATGGATTTTCCAGATGGACCCAATGACCAATTATAAGTATGCTTAGAAGAGACTGTTTTAATCAGTTTTCCATTGCAACAAAGTATGTAAGAAAATAAACTTAAAGGGAGGAATGATTTGTTCCAACTCATGGTTTCAGTCCATGGTCATTTGACTATGTTGTTTGTAAGATTATGGTGAGGCAGAATATCATGGCAAAGAAGCATGTTGGTGGAGCAAAGAGAGAAAGATTGTAGAAGGGACCAGAAACAAGATATAAAACCCAAGAAAAAATCTTCCAGGACCCATTCCCTTCAACTCAGTTCCACCTCCAAAATTTCCATCACCTTCTAATAACCCGTTAATTTATGAACCCATTATAGATTAACTCACTGATGAGGTCAGAAACCTTTAATACAATCTCTACGCAAAAGCCCTACCTTTGAATATTTGCTACTTTGGGGACTAAGCTTTAAACATAGGAGCCTTTGGAAGACTTTTCAGGTGCCAACCATAACAGAAATACATATAGTAGAGATAAACAGACAGAAGAGGAGGAGCCAATAAAAGATGGAAGGAGTCATACTGCTACATCTCAAAGAAGGCCAAAATTGCCATCAGCCAGGATAGGAGAATAAAGTGAATTATACCTGAGTGATCTGATGGGGAGCATAACCTTACCAACATTTTGATTGTGGACTACTAGCTTCTATTCTCTTTTCATTTGTTTGCTTTGT